TTGATTAAAAGCCCATCAGTGAAGATGCTGGTAAATAACCTGGACAAGATTATTAAGTCTGACGCTGATCAGAGTATTACCGGGAATAATGTCTGTGCTAGAGAAAAATGGAACATGATTAATTGTTTGCAGAGAAATGAAGTGCTACATCTCACAATCACCAAATAACATACAAAACTTTTTTGTTTTTTTTTAAAAGACGGCTCTCACATAATCTCCCGGGTTTATATATATTTTTTTAATTATGTTCCAAAATGTATTTATTCAAATTAAAGCTTTTGTACAGAAAGGTTACCCCATAGACCAGACAGAGGATGCTTTTAGTCAGTTCCTTGACCCATCATCATCCACTAAGCCCCTCCGGTAAATGAATCCACATAGTAATACCAGCACAAGATTTATAACAAAATATAACACTCAGCATGGGCACATCAAAAGAATCCTTAAAAAGAACTGGCACATTCTGCAACAGGATCCTGTACTAGGCCCGGAACTCCCTAAGAACCCTGAGGTCATCTTTAGAAAAGCCCCAAACATAGAGAATAAAATTGCTCCTAGGAAGATTAAAGTAGATAAGGATCACATGTCCCTCCTGTCTTTTTATGGAGATCAGAAAGGCATCTTCCGGTGTAAAAAATTGAGGCGCAAAACATGTGCATTCATCACACATGGACAATCGTCCATCTGGGACAGTTTGGGGAAAGAATATCCCATTACCCAGTATCTAAACTGCTCTACAGAATTTGTTGTCTATGGTCTAACTTGCCCCTGTGGCCTTCTATATATAGGGCGCACCACCAAGACACTACGCTGTCATTTTGGACAACATCGACGATGTATAGAACAGGGCTCCAAGGACCACAGTGTACCGAGACACTTTGCCACCAAACATAATAAATCTACAGTGGGCCTAGCAGTATTTGCAATTGAACACATCCCTAGCAGTATGTCCCCTGCCGAAAGATTTCGCAAACTGTGTAACCAGGAGACATACTGGATCTATATATTAAATACACTAAACCCTAATGGATTAAATGAGGAACTAGATGTCAGTACAATCCTATGATCATGCACTTTTGTGCGATGCACACACATACATATGCACTTGCATCTAAGTGCGTTGAACACGCATGTTGCCCTCCATATTGCTATTAACTTGTATACATGCAATAAAGATTCATGCATTATGTCCCCCTTATCTTTTCCTCAAATGCGAAGAATACACCTTTCGCTCTTTCACATGATGTTCACGCTTGTTCATGCATTTACAAACCTGGGGCAAACTGGCACCCAATTTGATCTTTTGTCACTTGTGCTCCAAGATGGAGACTCTCATAGTTTAGAGTTATGACCGCACTATATAGGAGGTGCCTTGGCGTGGCTGTGCGGCTTTCAGATTTTCTGCAGAAGACGTGTATCTAAACCTCTGTTTTTAACCTTAGCGGTGAGACAGGTTTTTTTTTGCATGCTGGCTGGTGAGTGTGCTGGGAAACTTTTTGCTCTTACTGTTTAAAGCCCTTCCATGTGCACCTTGCTGTAAAGCTGATAACAAATTGATGAGTGCGTTTGCCATTTGTTTTGCCTAGCAACACCTGACGACCCGGAAGTACTCAGCAGCTGTGACCCCGCTTTGAGGAGAACCAGCCACAGCAGTGCTCAGCCACTGGATCAGACCTGTGTCTTCCAGCACAGGCGTCCTGGAATCTTTCTGGACTGAACTCGACTCTGCTCTCTCCACATCCTGATAGCAATCTTGGACCAGCAGCTGAGATGGGACTTTCATCTGATGCGCGACAGGCAAATGTTTTTTAATATCCTTTAAATGCATTACTTTTAACCTTAATAAACCTTCACTTTATACTGCACTTAGATCTGTGCGCCGGTTTTCTATGTTTTCTTCATGGGCTATTTTATGGGTTAACAATGTCAAGGGTATGTCCAGAATACATTCAAACAGGGGTCTTTGTGACAGTGACAAAACTAGATTTAATTCCCACGGTTTCAGTGTGGTACGAATTGGGGGAGCAATCCCTTAAAAAGAAATACAAATCAGTAATTAGCAAGAGGATGTTAACGCACATACAAAGCAGACACCTGACCCTTGGTGGTGCTTAGGGTTAAATGTTCTTCCACTCCCAACTGGAGGAATCAAAGAACATCGCCCAGCTAAAAAAGCACGTGGGTTAACCCCTAAAACCTCACGCCAGTAAAAATTGCAGTAAGTAGATTTAAGTAGGTGAAGTAGTAGCTTCAGGGGAGGAAATTTATAGATCAGGGCATATGGATCCTACCGCCCTTTTTCCTGGAAACAAACCTGTCCAGCATTAAGATACTATTAAATACACATTCAGTGTCTCGAACACCTCCTGATGGAAATACCATCTTCATGGGTCCAGAAGTCTGCTGATAAAATGCTTCCAACGTCTTGTCAGTTGGGTCCTTAAAAGGACAGAGCATGTTTGATAACAATGGTCAAATCCTTATTACGACGAGGCTCTGGAGAGGCAACCTCAGAAGCAGTAAACCATCTTGTGACAAAATCCTCCGCAATGGGATAAGAGTGCCTGGAATTGTTGAGGGGTGATGGACTGATGGTCCGGGTGTTTGCAATCTGGACAGGCAGTTAAAATAGGGGATAATTGGGAAACACCTTTGTAGAATGTTTAGGTCTATGGGAACCAAGGCCAGACACAGAGCTAGGAGAAGTGGAATTCTCTCATGTTAAAGTGGAACACAGTCCCGACTAGAAAAGAAACAGTTTCCTTCTGTTTTGGTGAAGCAACTGCTGACTACATTTCAGCTGGCCAGGAGAGACTCATTATTTGACAGCAAGTCCTTTGGTTGATCTCTAACAGACCCAGAAATGTTACGCATCTCTGGGTCAGAATGTGCTGGAGAATCTGAGAGGGGGCATTTCAATCCCTTATAATCAGAGAGATCAACAATTTGCATTAGTGTGTCTATTTCTCCTGCAGGTGGCAGAATAACCTCTTGGTTGCTTATTGTGAATATAGCAGCACCGCTGAATGGAAGATAAGAGAAACAAATAATTCAAACAGTTATGTATTCATTAAACAACAATAGCCCAACTCTACCCAAAATATATTTTATTTTGGTTACAACAAGAAGGGGTTAGAGCCCTTGTCAGGTGTTCAAATTGTCTACAGCCCTTTTAAAGGAGATTACCCTCATTTGATGTCCAGTGATGCGTAATCTCTCTAATGGGTGAATTGTGCCTTCTCTCATTGCAACTGCCTTTGACTCAAAAGGAGAAACTATACTTTTGGGTATAGTTGAGACAGGGAGTGCAGGGCTATTCAGCTCACTTGCGGTACCTCCAAGAGGTACCGTAAGCAATGTGGCTGCAATATAAGGGAAGCACAAGATCACAATGTATGTATTTGATTTGTTCCATTTTTTATTCTCAGTTTTCATAAAAACCCTATTCTAACATGATACATTCCATTAACTATCACATCACTTTCAGTTACTGATAAAACCATAAATAAATCACTTGAAAAAAGCAGCCAAACATTTACATCATTAAAAAAAAAACAATTTTAAAAATGTAATCGTGTTCCTTTAACAAATATCTATGGGGAACCTTTTAATCGCATAGTTCTCTTTAGGGTCACAGGAGGACATATGTTAACCTCCTCCCATGACCCAAAGCTCAGTATATAGCGAGCTATATACTGAGAGCACCGCAGCAGGGATGGATCCCGACAATACTGTCGAGATCCACCTAGCTGGCTTATCTAGAGAGGGGAGGGGGGGAATCCCTATAGGGAGCGGTGACTGACAGTCACCACTCTCTGCAGGGAGATGATCGGAAAGTAAGCGAGCGACTGTATGTGCTCGCTCACTTCCCCGATCAATAGAACCGATGTGTGACAGTTTCAGTGTCGCATATCAGCTCTAACTATGAGGATGAATGTAAATCACTCACCACAGTCTCCTTTACCTATCAGGAACACATAGACCAGCTTGACAATTTGAGTCTCATTAACAGTTCTTTGCTACACATACCTTGAAATGCAGCATAGCTGCAGTGGCAGAGGAGCAGCAAAGTTGGGGAGTTAGACACAGGTCGCTGAAAAAGATACTGTACATGCTCTTCTTTTACAGGGGTGGCTTTGTTTATAAGTGACCCTGTGGTGACAGTCACTAACACAAACTGATGATTATCAAGCAGATATCTTTTACAAGTATCTAAAAAAGTGCTGAAAAGACAGTACAGTCCCATTAATACCTACAGCCTTATACATTAAATATAAGAAATGGTCAGTCAGCATTCCAGACAATTTTCAAGCTCTTGGCAGCTATTACTGTACATAAATACTATTGTATCCCAAGCAACAAAATAGTATATTATATTTATATTAAGTGGAATATAATGTCTGCACAAACCTTTATGGTATTTTTCAAAACAGACTGGCTCACCACTTCAGCTTCCCTCATCAGCAATCAGTACAACTAGGCAGTTTCCCTATCAAGATGCATTTGAATCTGGTCATTTCAATTTAGGAATATATTCTGTTTAATCATTAAGAAATTAGTGGCAGTGTTCTAATTTCTAAAAAAAAAAAAAAAAAATCTGCAAGGGCAATTATTTCCCCCATGAAAAATTGATTAAATTATTTTGGTTATTTTGTTATATTTCAATATACAAAAAGGACACTAGATTTCCTACCATATTACAATATACAAAGGAGCAATACAATTCCAACAGTGAAATATATGGATAATACAATTTATCAGGATGATACAAAACAATGCAACTGCATCAGACCAATTATTCTACAGGTCCTTGTATTACAACTTGCCCTCAAGTATTCTTATATTTTGCTGCAGCAAAGTGCAATAATCTTAGCAGCTTCATATACTTCCATCTGCTTCACACAGATGTACCTATAACAATGTACCAGAAAACCAGGAAATATTGTATATTCAAAAACTTGCAGATACACTATATGGTATTGGACCTCAGTTAGACTTACCTCTTTACTAGGAGAAAATTCAAGGAGAAGATTGCATAATGTTGATGACGCTACCACCAAGATGTCGTCTGGAGCATTCTGTAAAACCTGTAGGGAAGGGGGGACAGTTTATGGTTTAAGGAAGTTATTAAAGTCCATCTCTGCATCACCACAACCCAGGAACGTCAGCCATCTCTATTAGAGCCACCTAGACTAAATAAACATTCTATATAAATGGTAAGGTGGGTACCCCCTTTTAATTTTTATGGCAAGCCTGGCTTTCAATAGGCTGGTAAAAGATACTGATAGCAAAGGAAGCTGAAGTAAATTTGTAGACCCAAAAAAGGGAATGTCTGGCTGCTCAGTGCAACTAGTTAGGACGCGTGTCGGTGAAGATTTTCATTTATTTAGTTCATAGAATTGCTATCAGTAGTTGAGCATATTCAATTGGACTTGTTTAGTAAAGTTTATTAGGTTTCATCACTCATTTAAGTGCCTTTATCAGTTTGAAACTGATAAAGCCACTTCGATGAGTTTTGAAACATCTTTAACATTACTACACAAGGGCAAGCCACTCAAAAGTCTGGTGAAACGTCTTCAATACTACTCAAAAAGTTCAGGGATTATTACAATCTCTTCAGCACAAGATCTCATGCTCTGTGATCCCACAGTACAGCACAGCTCTGATAATAGAAATAGCTGCACAGTAAGCTCTTTCTTTTGTGCAGCAACTGATGAAGGGGCAGAAATACTGGACTGCCCATAGGAAATACAACACATAAGGAAACCATAATAAAAGAATATAAATGCTAGCTTTGTACATTAAATATTTGAACAAGAAAACTAAATTGTTGATGGTCCCTGTAGGTTTTAGATTTTTGAAGAAGCTTTATTTCTATAAAAGGTAACTTCAGAAATGAATTACTTTCATTAAAGGTTTCCACACAGCATGGTCCTGAAAACTGGTTCGGAGTTGTTGGACTGACCTGGACAAACTGTGTAAACATCTAGAAAGAAAGAGGCAATTAAGTACCAGAAATATACAAGCAAATTAGTATGAAGGTCAAAACCCTTATAATTGTGACCCCAATTTTTTAAACTGATCAGGCATTTCAATTCAGCTCGGTGACATAGCAATCAGTTCAAAGATGTTTAGGGCCAAATTTGCACACATACAATCAATGAATTCTATGTCCTTCACGCATTAGGCGATAATTCCATTCTCAGTCCCTACATAATCAATGAAATGATCATGTGAAGTAAAAGTCCACTTACTAATCAGTGGCTATACAACACTGCTTTTATTATCCGAACAGATTTTCTCTATCACATTTTTTAAAAAGTAAGCAGGACTTTTGTTGGGAGTGCTTATTCTTACAATCATTACTAAAAAATAAAAAAAAAAAAAAAAAAAGTTTTTTTTAGCTTAAAAAAAATATATTATATTCCCCCCCTACTAAGGAACAATTACAATTAATGATTGTAGTGGACTACAGGGCATTCAGAGAAACTCTGCAATAAAAGCCCCACCTATCTCCTAAAAAAAACCTTGCCACTTGATCGATATTCCTCCAACAAACTGTTGCAGCTGTGACAGGGCCCTGGCGCTCCACCACTGTCCTGAAATCATTAGTCTGTATTGCTTAAGAAAAACGGTCACATGACACTATACAAAAATATGTATCACCAATTGTATCTGTGAGTACTTGGTCAAGTATAGGTACTTGGTCTGGAAAAATGTTATCTGTGCATCCCTAATAATAATAATGATATATTACATATACATACATACAAACATACATACATACATATACACTTTTAAACAGGGATGCACAAATCCCAGTGCGCCTTAAAAATGCCTCCTAACTTGAGTTTTTTTTCTCTAGCCTAGTCTTGGAGCTGGAAATGTATCTGCACTTGTACCAAGTACAGTACTTGGTATGTGAACATCCCTACCAATTTGTAATCTTGTTCTTTGAATTCCATTGGACTGCAGTATTTCCAATTACTGTGCACAATAATAAATATGCTCCAGTCGGTACAGGCATTCATAACAGCATTTGGTTATTATTCTAAACAAGCAATAGCATCACTGATTTGTATTTCCCACCTTTTGTGTATACTTATAAGATGAATCAATACAGAACACTCTAATTTACATTGTTTTGTAACAGTACTGTGCCGCTTCATTTTGTATAGCGCTGCGCAAACTGTTGGTGCTCTATAAACCCTGAATAATCATAATAATATCCCCAAAACTAAATATATCAGTTTACTGTAAACCCGTCCACTAATGCCATCAGGGACAAGTGCTCTTAAAACTGGATGCAAGGAGGTAGGCAGTATAAAAGAAAAAGCAATGAAGTGTAATCTCCTACCTGACAGCAGCTAACCGCACCTTGACACTAGTCTCAGATAAGCCATTCACAATCCGGTCCATCATATGTTCAGCCTCTATGATCTGGAGAGAGATGTTAATGCAGCATAAATAACATCAAGGACACCATGCCTGCCTACCTTATTGCTATTAACAATACTAAAGATGAGAGTACATTCACACTATGCACATTTATTTGTATTTTCATACATTTTAAGTCCAAGAGAAAGATCCATCAAAAAAGAACTGTATATTGTCGTCTTCTCCTGGCCCAGTCACACTTTTACCAGTAGACTTTACCAGTATACCAATCTACACCTTCATCTGTTAGAATGTTACCCATTCAAACATTTAGCCTGGGCAGATAAACATCTAATAACAATGAATGTATAGATAACATAAAAACTACAAGTAGAAAAGTGCCCTAGAGGTATATTTCAAATTATGTAAGATAGGTAGACGCATTTAAAAAGAATGTTAGCACGGTGTGTGAGAATTTAGACAGGAGTGCTGGACAATTCTCCGGCAGTGAAGAACAAGGTATTTCTAGTTAATACACCTACATATTACTATGCACAGTTCAGGGTTAGTGGAAAATTTAAAAGACAGTACAGAAATATAGAATTCCATTTAACTCCAAGTGGCGTACAGAAATGAGGGTTGTAGTTTCAGATGTCTTGCCATTTACATTAAAGCTAAAGTAACAGCCATTATAGGCATTAAAATGCCTTGCCTAAGAGCTGAAACCACAGAGTGTCTCTGTAATTCCGACTCCACTGTATTACTAAGCACCTGTCTTCCCTGATTTCAGTACTATATCCTGTTCACCTACCATATTCTTTTAGATTGTAAGTCTTCACGGGCAGGGCCCTCCTTACCATCTTGTCTTGAATTGTATTGTGATTGTAATGTCTTCCTTATATTGTAAAGCGCTGCGTAAACTGTTGGCGCTATATAAATCCTGTATAATAATAATAATAATATTCCTATCCATTGAGAGTGCATCAGTGGCCAGTAAGGTTGCTCTCATTGGACAACATGCGAGGTGGATGAGGTTTAGCTCTGAAGTCATAAAAGGAGGGGTTGCTGGCTAATAAAGGTGATAACAGAGCTTCTTGCTTTTAGATGGATCCTTAACTAGATTAAAATAGCTGTCAGGGTCACTTTAATGAATGGCAAGAATTGCAATGGTAAGAAGTGGAAGAGTATATGCCAAAGCATATCTCATTCAAGCAGAGAGTTCCATTTTCATTCAGTGGAAAAATCCTGGGACAACCAACATCAGGCCATTTACAGAAAATATGAAAGGAATCTTGTAATGGTAAAACACATAGGGTACCACATCTCTGCTTATAAAAATGCACATTTATTAGTTGTCCTGCTAGTTCTGGGGCTTTAGACATCTAAGCCACAGAACAAATATGCCAATAAAAATTCACTGCAATTTTAGTTTCTGCATGCTTATATCAGGCCAGTGACTCAGAAACGAATGCAGCCATTGAAACAACATGACAGTTACTAAACCAACATTTTCAGATCAGCAAAGACAGTTTATGTATTTCTTTCGGTTCATGTCTTTTAAATCTGTATAACCCAACAATGTGTTTAATCGTATTAAAATACATTTTTTGTGATATGTAGAGCAACGGTGGTATATGCAAAAAAGCTGCCGTGCGATTACTAAGAAAACAAAAAATTAGGTGTGCACTGCGCTAATACCTCAAATAAACTGAACTTTTAAATATAACAACACAGAGTGCTCAGCATAAATAAGTACACCCCAACAGATGTCAGAAAACCTTTCCTTTCAGAGTCAACATTTTCTATGGGGCACCATGCTACAAAATACTCCCACAAATTCGGGCCATTGATTGCAACCAAGATTTGGTCATTAGCACACAAAAGAAAGTATTTTTCCTAACAAATTCATTCAAGACCACGTTGCAAAAATAAATACACCCCAAAAAAAAGTCATAGGAGCAAAGCTAAATTTTAGACAAAATCCTAATTAAACAAGAATTCAACTACAGGTGAGTATAATTATTCATTAAAATAGGTGTCCAGCAGAAAGGTGATTATAAAAGGGCGTTACTTAACAAAGAAAACCCCTTCCCATTTCATGCTGTCAGCAATGGAACCATTGTGTGGAAGAGAAATGTCAAGGCCTGAGAAAGAAAATAATTTCTTTACACAAGAAAGGTGAAGGCTACAAGAAGATCAGCAAAGCTTTACTTATCAGTCAGAATACTGTAGCAAAAGTGATACAAAAATGTAACAAAAGATGGAACTGCAACCAGAGACGTCCAGGCCGTCCACCGGAGTTAAAACCACGACAGGAGCGTCTTCTGATAAAAAGGGTTGAAGGAAATTGCCATGCAAGTTCACTGCAGTTAGCTAAAGAAGTAGAAAGCCAAACTGCGATGATGGTTTCCCGTGACAAAATACGGCGTGCACTGCAGAGGAATGGCATGCATGGGTGTCATCCATGAAGGCAGCCTCTCCTAAAGCCCACCTACAATTTGCCAGGGCCCATGCTGAAAAAGAAGAAGACTACTGGGACTCTGTACTCTGGAGTGATGAGACCAAGATCAATGTTTTTGGAACTGATGGCTTCAAAACGGTATGGCGTCGCAAAGGTGAGGAGTACAAAGAAAAATGCATGGTGCCTACAGTGAAACATGGTGGTGTCAGTGTCCTTCTGTGGGGCTGCATGAGTGCTGCTGGTGTCGGGGAGCTGCATTTCATTGATGGTATCATTAATTCACAGATGTACTGCTCTATATTGAAAGAAAACATGCTACCATCACTCCCTGCCCTTGGTCGCCGTGCACTTTTCCAACCTGCCAATGATCCAAAACACAAAATCTAAGGCCACTGTTGCATTTCTGAAGAAGAACAAGGTGAAAGTGGTTAAGTGGCCAAGTATGTCTCCTGATTTAAACCAAATCAAACACCTTTGGGGAATTCTGAAGAGACAAGTTGAGCATCACTCTCCATCTAGCATGCAGGCTCTAAAAGAGGTCGTTCTTGAAGAATGGAAAAAGATAGATGTTGCGATATGTCGCCAACTTGTTAATTCCATTCCTAGAAAACTTGGTGCTGTCCTTACAAATCATGGAGGTCACACAAAATACTACGTAGTAGTTTTTGTTGTGGGGTGTATTAATTTTTACTTCACCTAATTTTAGGAAAACTGAAGAATCTGCAGTCTAAATTAGATTATTAACCTTACTTTCATGTAATGAGCTAAACAAATGTTCTATGAAACTCGGTTTTGTAAAAATTTGGGAAATTGTTCTTGTGTTCAATGAGATACCGACTAAAATCTTACTGTTCAAAGGGGTGTACTCATTTATGCTGAACACTGTATATCTCATGAAGCCAATGTGAGCTACCGTGCCAAATAAGTGTATAAAAGTAAATGCGCCACATCAATTGAACCAAACTCATTGCGTAAGCTAAATATGTGTGTCCATACAAATATCCATAAAACATATCAGTCCAATATTCCTCCAATTATAAATAAAAAACAAAATCTAAACTCTCAAGTTTCCAAAACACTCTTTTAGTGTCCACTTCAGATTAGTCACTCACAAATATCCATATCCAATATACTCAAACATATATCCAAAGGTCATCAATAGTGCTTGTAAATCACAATCACTGGTGTATTAGGAAGTAGAGAACCCACTCGCCAGACTTCTTTGACCATATATCTCAATGGTCGATATGCGCAGAGGTGAGGTCGTCTGCCTTTCCTGGACTAAGTCGATTGACGAAACGCCTTGGAGGGGTTTGGTGCGTACTGAGGTCTGGTTACGGGATACAGAGGCTGTTGATTCCTTTTTGTACTGAGGAGTCGTTTGGTTGTTGTTTTTTTTCTAATACGTTTGATTGCCCTGCAGATCTTTTAAGTGTTTTTAACCCATTTTAATAAACGGTACCTTTCATACTTCACCATTGGAGTGTTATTTCCTCTTGGGTACAGGGATTTCCCCGTGAATGGCATAGAGATATACGGTCAAGGAAGTCTGGTGAGTGCGTTCTCTACTTCTGATTTACGAGCACTATTGATGGCCACTGCACTTTGGATATATGTTTAGGAGTATATTGGATATGGATATTTGTGAGTGACAAATCTGAAGAGGACACAAGACAGTTTCGGAAAATTGAAAGTCTAGATTTTATTTTTTATTTATAACTGGAGGAATATTGGACTGATATGTTTCATTGATATTTGTATGGACACACATATTTAGCTTACGAAGCGAGTTTCGTTCACTTAGAGCGATGCATTTACTTTTATACACTTGGTTACCATTTGGCACGGTAGCTCACATTGGCTTCATGAGATATATGTGTTGTTTTATATGTAAAAGTTATGTTTATTTGAGGTATTTATTAGCGTGGGGCATATCTAATTTTTTTGTATGTGTTCAATTGACATTAATTGTTGACTCTCAAATAGCTTTAGAATTTAGTCCAGAAATGCAGACCACCAGCTTATAGGTTAAAACAATTATGTACATAACTATGGTGTTAAAAATGGTCATACAGAATATGTAGTATTAAACTCTTGAATCTAATACGGATAAGTATGTATCTTTAAAAGCATGGCTAAGATTGTAAAACATCAAGACAATGCCAACCAAACAAAGCTGCACAAGCTTAAAAAAAAAAAAAAAAAAAAAAGTTTTTTTTAGCTTAAAAAAAATATATTATATTCCCCCCCTACTAAGGAACAATTACAATTAATGATTGTAGTGGACTACAGGGCATTCAGAGAAACTCTGCAATAAAAGCCCCACCTATCTCCTAAAAAAAACCTTGCCACTTGATCGATATTCCTCCAACAAACTGTTGCAGCTGTGACAGGGCCCTGGCGCTCCACCACTGTCCTGAAATCATTAGTCTGTATTGCTTAAGAAAAACGGTCACATGACACTATACAAAAATATGTATCACCAATTGTATCTGTGAGTACTTGGTCAAGTATAGGTACTTGGTCTGGAAAAATGTTATCTGTGCATCCCTAATAATAATAATGATATATTACATATACATACATACAAACATACATACATACATATACACTTTTAAACAGGGATGCACAAATCCCAGTGCGCCTTAAAAATGCCTCCTAACTTGAGTTTTTTTTCTCTAGCCTAGTCTTGGAGCTGGAAATGTATCTGCACTTGTACCAAGTACAGTACTTGGTATGTGAACATCCCTACCAATTTGTAATCTTGTTCTTTGAATTCCATTGGACTGCAGTATTTCCAATTACTGTGCACAATAATAAATATGCTCCAGTCGGTACAGGCATTCATAACAGCATTTGGTTATTATTCTAAACAAGCAATAGCATCACTGATTTGTATTTCCCACCTTTTGTGTATACTTATAAGATGAATCAATACAGAACACTCTAATTTACATTGTTTTGTAACAGTACTGTGCCGCTTCATTTTGTATAGCGCTGCGCAAACTGTTGGTGCTCTATAAACCCTGAATAATCATAATAATATCCCCAAAACTAAATATATCAGTTTACTGTAAACCCGTCCACTAATGCCATCAGGGACAAGTGCTCTTAAAACTGGATGCAAGGAGGTAGGCAGTATAAAAGAAAAAGCAATGAAGTGTAATCTCCTACCTGACAGCAGCTAACCGCACCTTGACACTAGTCTCAGATAAGCCATTCACAATCCGGTCCATCATATGTTCAGCCTCTATGATCTGGAGAGAGATGTTAATGCAGCATAAATAACATCAAGGACACCATGCCTGCCTACCTTATTGCTATTAACAATACTAAAGATGAGAGTACATTCACACTATGCACATTTATTTGTATTTTCATACATTTTAAGTCCAAGAGAAAGATCCATCAAAAAAGAACTGTATATTGTCGTCTTCTCCTGGCCCAGTCACACTTTTACCAGTAGACTTTACCAGTATACCAATCTACACCTTCATCTGTTAGAATGTTACCCATTCAAACATTTAGCCTGGGCAGATAAACATCTAATAACAATGAATGTATAGATAACATAAAAACTACAAGTAGAAAAGTGCCCTAGAGGTATATTTCAAATTATGTAAGATAGGTAGACGCATTTAAAAAGAATGTTAGCACGGTGTGTGAGAATTTAGACAGGAGTGCTGGACAATTCTCCGGCAGTGAAGAACAAGGTATTTCTAGTTAATACACCTACATATTACTATGCACAGTTCAGGGTTAGTGGAAAATTTAAAAGACAGTACAGAAATATAGAATTCCATTTAACTCCAAGTGGCGTACAGAAATGAGGGTTGTAGTTTCAGATGTCTTGCCATTTACATTAAAGCTAAAGTAACAGCCATTATAGGCATTAAAATGCCTTGCCTAAGAGCTGAAACCACAGAGTGTCTCTGTAATTCCGACTCCACTGTATTACTAAGCACCTGTCTTCCCTGATTTCAGTACTATATCCTGTTCACCTACCATATTCTTTTAGATTGTAAGTCTTCACGGGCAGGGCCCTCCTTACCATCTTGTCTTGAATTGTATTGTGATTGTAATGTCTTCCTTATATTGTAAAGCGCTGCGTAAACTGTTGGCGCTATATAAATCCTGTATAATAATAATAATAATATTCCTATCCATTGAGAGTGCATCAGTGGCCAGTAAGGTTGCTCTCATTGGACAACATGCGAGGTGGATGAGGTTTAGCTCTGAAGTCATAAAAGGAGGGGTTGCTGGCTAATAAAGGTGATAACAGAGCTTCTTGCTTTTAGATGGATCCTTAACTAGATTAAAATAGCTGTCAGGGTCACTTTAATGAATGGCAAGAATTGCAATGGTAAGAAGTGGAAGAGTATATGCCAAAGCATATCTCATTCAAGCAGAGAGTTCCATTTTCATTCAGTGGAAAAATCCTGGGACAACCAACATCAGGCCATTTACAGAAAATATGAAAGGAATCTTGTAATGGTAAAACACATAGGGTACCACATCTCTGCTTATAAAAATGCACATTTATTAGTTGTCCTGCTAGTTCTGGGGCTTTAGACATCTAAGCCACAGAACAAATATGCCAATAAAAATTCACTGCAATTTTAGTTTCTGCATGCTTATATCAGGCCAGTGACTCAGAAACGAATGCAGCCATTGAAACAACATGACAGTTACTAAACCAACATTTTCAGATCAGCAAAGACAGTTTATGTATTTCTTTCGGTTCATGTCTTTTAAATCTGTATAACCCAACAATGTGTTTAATCGTATTAAAATACATTTTTTGTGATATGTAGAGCAACGGTGGTATATGCAAAAAAGCTGCCGTGCGATTACTAAGAAAACAAAAAATTAGGTGTGCACTGCGCTAATACCTCAAATAAACTGAACTTTTAAATATAACAACACAGAGTGCTCAGCATAAATAAGTACACCCCAACAGATGTCAGAAAACCTTTCCTTTCAGAGTCAACATTTTCTATGGGGCACCATGCTACAAAATACTCCCACAAATTCGGGCCATTGATTGCAACCAAGATTTGGTCATTAGCACACAAAAGAAAGTATTTTTCCTAACAAATTCATTCAAGACCACGTTGCAAAAATAAATACACCCCAAAAAAAAGTCATAGGAGCAAAGCTAAATTTTAGACAAAATCCTAATTAAACAAGAATTCAACTACAGGTGAGTATAATTATTCATTAAAATAGGTGTCCAGCAGAAAGGTGATTATAAAAGGGCGTTACTTAACAAAGAAAACCCCTTCCCATTTCATGCTGTCAGCAATGGAACCATTGTGTGGAAGAGAAATGTCAAGGCCTGAGAAAGAAAATAATTTCTTTACACAAGAAAGGTGAAGGCTACAAGAAGATCAGCAAAGCTTTACTTATCAGTCAGAATACTGTAGCAAAAGTGATACAAAAATGTAACAAAAGATGGAACTGCAACCAGAGACGTCCAGGCCGTCCACCGGAGTTAAAACCACGACAGGAGCGTCTTCTGATAAAAAGGGTTGAAGGAAATTGCCATGCAAGTTCACTGCAGTTAGCTAAAGAAGTAGAAAGCCAAACTGCGATGATGGTTTCCCGTGACAAAATACGGCGTGCACTGCAGAGGAATGGCATGCATGGGTGTCATCCATGAAGGCAGCCTCTCCTAAAGCCCACCTACAATTTGCCAGGGCCCATGCTGAAAAAGAAGAAGACTACTGGGACTCTGTACTCTGGAGTGATGAGACCAAGATCAATGTTTTTGGAACTGATGGCTTCAAAACGGTATGGCGTCGCAAAGGTGAGGAGTACAAAGAAAAATGCATGGTGCCTACAGTGAAACATGGTGGTGTCAGTGTCCTTCTGTGGGGCTGCATGAGTGCTGCTGGTGTCGGGGAGCTGCATTTCATTGATGGTATCATTAATTCACAGATGTACTGCTCTATATTGAAAGAAAACATGCTACCATCACTCCCTGCCCTTGGTCGCCGTGCACTTTTCCAACCTGCCAATGATCCAAAACACAAAATCTAAGGCCACTGTTGCATTTCTGAAGAAGAACAAGGTGAAAGTGGTTAAGTGGCCAAGTATGTCTCCTGATTTAAACCAAATCAAACACCTTTGGGGAATTCTGAAGAGACAAGTTGAGCATCACTCTCCATCTAGCATGCAGGCTCTAAAAGAGGTCGTTCTTGAAGAATGGAAAAAGATAGATGTTGCGATATGTCGCCAACTTGTTAATTCCATTCCTAGAAAACTTGGTGCTGTCCTTACAAATCATGGAGGTCACACAAAATACTACGTAGTAGTTTTTGTTGTGGGGTGTATTAATTTTTACTTCACCTAATTTTAGGAAAACTGAAGAATCTGCAGTCTAAATTAGATTATTAACCTTACTTTCATGTAATGAGCTAAACAAATGTTCTATGAAACTCGGTTTTGTAAAAATTTGGGAAATTGTTCTTGTGTTCAATGAGATACCGACTAAAATCTTACTGTTCAAAGGGGTGTACTCATTTATGCTGAACACTGTATATCTCATGAAGCCAATGTGAGCTACCGTGCCAAATAAGTGTATAAAAGTAAATGCGCCACATCAATTGAACCAAACTCATTGCGTAAGCTAAATATGTGTGTCCATACAAATATCCATAAAACATATCAGTCCAATATTCCTCCAATTATAAATAAAAAACAAAATCTAAACTCTCAAGTTTCCAAAACACTCTTTTAGTGTCCACTTCAGATTAGTCACTCACAAATATCCATATCCAATATACTCAAACATATATCCAAAGGTCATCAATAGTGCTTGTAAATCACAATCACTGGTGTATTAGGAAGTAGAGAACCCACTCGCCAGACTTCTTTGACCATATATCTCAATGGTCGATATGCGCAGAGGTGAGGTCGTCTGCCTTTCCTGGACTAAGTCGATTGACGAAACGCCTTGGAGGGGTTTGGTGCGTACTGAGGTCTGGTTACGGGATACAGAGGCTGTTGATTCCTTTTTGTACTGAGGAGTCGTTTGGTTGTTGTTTTTTTTCTAATACGTTTGATTGCCCTGCAGATCTTTTAAGTGTTTTTAACCCATTTTAATAAACGGTACCTTTCATACTTCACCATTGGAGTGTTATTTCCTCTTGGGTACAGGGATTTCCCCGTGAATGGCATAGAGATATACGGTCAAGGAAGTCTGGTGAGTGCGTTCTCTACTTCTGATTTACGAGCACTATTGATGGCCACTGCACTTTGGATATATGTTTAGGAGTATATTGGATATGGATATTTGTGAGTGACAAATCTGAAGAGGACACAAGACAGTTTCGGAAAATTGAAAGTCTAGATTTTATTTTTTATTTATAACTGGAGGAATATTGGACTGATATGTTTCATTGATATTTGTATGGACACACATATTTAGCTTACGAAGCGAGTTTCGTTCACTTAGAGCGATGCATTTACTTTTATACACTTGGTTACCATTTGGCACGGTAGCTCACATTGGCTTCATGAGATATATGTGTTGTTTTATATGTAAAAGTTATGTTTATTTGAGGTATTTATTAGCGTGGGGCATATCTAATTTTTTTGTATGTGTTCAATTGACATTAATTGTTGACTCTCAAATAGCTTTAGAATTTAGTCCAGAAATGCAGACCACCAGCTTATAGGTTAAAACAATTATGTACATAACTATGGTGTTAAAAATGGTCATACAGAATATGTAGTATTAAACTCTTGAATCTAATACGGATAAGTATGTATCTTTAAAAGCATGGCTAAGATTGTAAAACATCAAGACAATGCCAACCAAACAAAGCTGCACAAGCTCTTTATGGGAAGTCTCTCTTTTTCATGTGGGGGTCACAAGTTCCTATTTTGGAATCAACATTTGCATAACAAAATAGGGAATTAAGCGGCCCATTTATAATGGAAAAAGGATATCATTTTCCGATATACACAGCAAGGTTACTCCACACCACGGCCTGCATTTTATGGTTCATTCAGAATATGTAGGCCACAGTGTGTAGTATACGGTACATTGAGAATTTCTCTCTGCCTAATCCAGCAGTGATTGTAGGAGGTGAGCCAGGGGACCAGGTTCTCCTGGTCCTCTCTTTTTAATAGTGCTACAAAGCCAGTCAAGCACTAAGGACATTTATAAAGCACACATCACTCCTTTATAAATGTGCAATTTATTTTGTTTAAAGCAGTGGTATGACCATGGTAAAGTTGATTTAATAAA